ACACAAGAACATGTGTAAAAAACTAACACGTATTCTATCATATTGACATGAAACGTTATATAATGGTAAACTTTTGCCATGCAATCCTTCTCAAATCAGTCTTCGTGGGCTCAAGCAATGAAAACGCACACACTGGACACACCAGCTGTGGGCTCAAGCAATGAAAACGCACACACTGGACACACTTTGATGCAAAATGCCAAAAATCCATGGACATGGAAACAGTAGTCACGTGAACTTCATACGTGCACGTGAATTCCCACACCGTCCGTATCTTTTTCTGGTTAAATATCCCGCACCCTCCAAATATCTTTGCTGATTAGTCAATTTGGAGGGCCTCAAATCCTTCATCTCTGAAAAAGCAGAAACCCTAGCTTGCTATCACAGGACTCTTTTCTGTCTGTTAATAACGGTTCATGCATCAACCAGAGGATGAGAAAAAGATGCTCCGTCATATTCGGGTCCACCCATGGATGGCGTCAAATCCAATTGTTGGGTCAAGAAGGGTCCACGTTGACATAACCCATTACGTACCCATGCTTGAGACAACTGTTATTAATTAAGAGATTTTTCAATGTATCAAAAATATTGTTCGGTACAATAAATTCTCAGCACGCTAAAAAAAATTTCAGTGTTGTGGTCCACATGCAGTACCAAACCCTTATCTTTTGAATTTTGGTTTGGCATTTGGCTTCGCACATTTCCATTCATGTACAGTTTGATGAACATTTTCATGTCATCTACAATAAGAAAAAAGCATAAATTAAAGGACATCGTCCTCTTCATTGAAGACATATAAAAACATCCAATCAATTGGCCCTTCTGATTATCTCACCGACATGAGCTCGCCATGTTATCCATATTTCTTTATCTTGCATGTTACATCATATCTTATCACTATTAAATTACTCTTTTTTTTTTAAAATTTAATTTCTCATTGGACAATAAAATACTAGCTACTTTCTTATTCAGCAATCTTTTATACCGGATACAGTTTCATTTCAAAATGTGAAATTTTGATGTGGAAGCGGATTGATTATGACTGTCATGCTGCTTGTGAAATTCACAAAATATGAATGATATGAGTGATTAATTAAATAGGCTTTAGTAACTTCTAGATTGTCCATCACTTTGTTGAACTTCTTTTATATGTTTTTAACATTACAATTTGGCCGGGGTCCTACAAATAACCAAGAGTATAAAATTTGTGATTTGGATGTCCCCTAATTATTGTTGGCTTTTATAATACACCATGCATGAAAACTAAAAAGGCTATCATGTCGTTGGTATAAACCCTTATTCTTCAATAAATTACAGGGCAGCTTCGCCATTTTGTTTGCCTTAATCAAGGGAAGCACTATATAACTCCATTATTCAACTGTGATATAGATTCTACTCGATCGATGAGACTGCAAGGTGATTTTTTTTTTTCAAAAGCAATTCGATTCGTTGTTTTGGATAAAGATGATGCGCTCTAAAGCTTTAGATCAACCCTGTTTGTTTTTCTTTTTTTTTTCCGAGTAACTTTTTTATATCATAGATAGATTGGTGATTTGGCTTGTTTTTTTAACCTAAATAGTGATTCAGTCGATGATGAATGTAAACTGTAACTTAATTTTTGCGTGCTACGCTGTGGTTGGTTCACACGTCGCATTCATCTAGTTCATAACAGCAATGCTAGGTATATCAAATTTTTAGATCATATTTGCAAACTATATGTGATATGTCACCAATATGAAATAATCACTTTAATCAAAATAATATAACCATAAACAACCATGTCGTATGATTTATAAAATCTAGTCTAACTAGTTAGTATTCCTAGCTTTATCTGGTTTCATAAAATCATCACTCTTACACAATAAGAGGATTGAAACAAACTAAAAGTCTATAATATTTGATTCAAGTAAACTTTCGTTAATCTTCTAATTAAAAGGCTGCTTAATTATTTATGTAGTTAAAGTTGAAAATTAAAGGAAAACATCGCAACCAAAACAAAAAATGGGAACTTTAACGAAAAGTTCCGGTACTGTTCACTTTAATGAAAAATTATATTTTTACACCAAAAAATCAATCATAGTACTATTTATTTTACCCTTTATTTTATCATTATCGTTAAAACTCAAAGTTTTCAAGTCATTTTCATTAGTTTTCCTAATAAAAAAAGACTAAACCTTTACGTCATTGCTGTGCCACGGGGAAGAAGATTTTTTAAAAATCGTTAATTATATACAAGTCAATAGATTATTTATGCATTATGCCTTAATCCCTAACTTTCAAATCTAATGTTATTATTTAAGTTCAAATTTGAAAAAGGGACACCAGCCAACAAAATATGACGATCGATGTATATTAGTGTATATATAGGAATTCGTGACACTATTTTTTTACACAATTTGTGACATAAGTACTTGTGGAGTCCACTCCTTAATGTATTTTAACGGTTCGAATTATTTATCATTTAAAACATCATTAAAAAAGGTCGTACCCAGTGCACAAGGCTCCCGCTTTACGCAGGGTCTGGGAGAGGTGAATGTCGGCTAGCCTTACCCCCATTTATGGAGAGGCTGCTCCCAAGTCTCGAACCCGAGACCTACCGCTATGGCGAAGGCACTTGCCATCGCAAAAACCATTAAAACATTCATTTGTAATGAACATCATTCATTACAAATCATACACTACATTCATTTAAAACATCATTCATAGAAAAAAATTATACAAATACAAAATCATTTTTTTATATATAACCATTAAAACATTCATTTGTAATGAACAAAATGATCCATACATTTCTACAATGTAACCATAAATCCTTAACCCAATGGTGATATGGTTTCAGATACACAAATTGTTGAGATACATTATAGAGAGGGCTCACAAAAATGTGTGTAAAAAATGATGGGGTGTGATATCCACACACCCCTTTTTACTTCTCTCACACCTTTTTTGTTTTCGGCCGTCGAATTGAATGATTTGAAGAAGATCAATTGACAGAAATTAACAAGAGGTGTGTGAGAAGAAAAAATGGGTGTGTGGATAGCACACCCCAAAATGATGTAAAAAAATGGTGTCGCACATCCGTCTCTTATATATATATATATAGACACACACACACACACTCAATAATGATGTTGTTGTTTGCATTATAAATCCTAACATAAAGTCCACAACAAAACCCAAATTCACATCCAAATTTATAAGATAAGATTAACAAATACAATAGGATAATATGCTCTGTTTGAGTAGAGTGTATAAGGACATCAAATGCACCTATCTTCTTCTTTCTTTTTTTTTTTTTTAAAGAAAAAAATCTACCAGCTGTGGCCCTACTTTTATGATCAAAGCACATCAACGTATGGATTCAAAGCACCGGGAAAGGGATTACCAAATCATACACTAAGAATTATAATTCAAATGATAGAAAACTAAAAAGTGAATCGAAGAGCTTAATTTTACTAAAGTAGGCGCATATCGTTTGATGTTAGAGGACTCTATAATTTACCTCTTTGTCCTTCCATCTCTTAAACCCTCATGTTTCCTCAAAAAGAAAACTAAATAGACAAAACAAATGCGTACAAAGTACACACAACACTTTAGGTCTTTAACCATGGAGTTATAATGATGTTTCATGTTTTTATTACCTTGTTTTGCCTCATCTAGTCGAGACAACATTTTCTTTTAGGTTTATTTTTAGATATGGTTTTTGGAACTCGATTTTAATTTCACTTTGCTCTATGTAACTCAAAGGTTGTCACATTACTCTATATACTCAAAAATCGCTTCACTTGTGCCCCCTGTAACTCAATTTTGATCTCAGTTTACCTCTTGAAACTTGAAAAGTCGTCTCTATAAAAGTCAAAATTTTTGCTCCATATTGCCTTAGATCTGTTAGTTTCTTATGTAGGTTTGATTTGGGTGAGCCAGGTTAATCAATTTCTGTTTTGTTTATTTTTTTCTCTTTAATTTCTTTTAAATTTAATATTATCTGATTGCTGAATGTTGACTCATAATGGAGACTTATAATGAAATTTATTGCACATGTGGCATAGTCTTATTGGGTGTTGGGTCTCATATATGTTTTAGGATGCAACCTATAAGTTTCAAGGAGGAGAAAGTCCACAAGTCAAAGTGAGATTAAAATGAGATTAAAATGGAGTTTTAGAGGGTGTGATTAAAAATAAACTTTTCTTTTATTTGTTGCATGGAACGAATGTCTCGCATTTATAACCTTGTATTGCTCACCTGATTTTTCAAATGTAAGAACATGTGTATGAAAGTTTTTCTCTGCCTAGTAACTCACACCTTCGAAAACTCGATGGGTAAATTTATAATGACAAGTTTTAATCATCTCCTCTAATTACATTGTGTCATGGACCATAACAATAAAAACATATGTTCATGCTTTTTAATAGTAAATGTGTCTGTCTTTATGCTAACAAGATATTATAAAAATTAATGCTTGGTTATGATCATCCAAGTCAAAGCACTACCATGTTTTAGGTAGCAACTAGTGAGATCATGATCAGATTTGATAAGCACAAGTTGACAACAAGAGTATGGCTTAGTGGTGGCAGCTATCATCACCAGTTCAAATTATTCGCACCCATTTTGTATGTGGTCTCTTTGTAACTTTAATAATTTATTAATACGTGTTAATCAATTTTAACTCTTCTTAATTTTGTTATTATAAACTTAACACGCGTCAATCAATGTTAGAAACCATAAAAAGACCACATACAAAATAGATACAGAATATTTGATCTAATCAACTTTGACTGAAAACAGAAAGATATTTAAGTTAAGATTAGAGTTTGGTGTAGTGATAAGGAAAATATTGACACTTTTCATACACAAGTCTCTTCTGTTAAACATTACATTATTTTGTTGTCTGTGCCTAATTTTTCTCTTGCGTGTTCATAAGTCACTTCAGTATATACATAAATTTGCAATTTCCAAGTAAATATGAACAACTCTCGATTGAATGGAGCTAAAGAATGTTCATTAGGTGGTATAATTATGGTACATAAAAAATAAAGACATGCGAGGAAACGAATCGAGGAACAAAAATAAGACGCCAAAGAAAATGGGTGTGCGGTAATCATTTTTTAATCAAAATTCAGAGGTGAAATGGCTGAAGCTTTCAATGCATGATAAGATGTTTGACCATGGTTAAATCCACATATGGCTTCAAGCTGCACTGGTAGTTGAAAGTTGAAGCTTTTACCAAACCCCGTCCCCCCCGCAACTCTGCTAGCCTTTCGCCGGCTTCTACGTCCACTTGGATTCTCTATCTCTCACTCTGTGAAATCATGGGTTCTCTTTGTTCGAGCTCAGTTGCTAATTCTTAAGAGCTTTATATGATTTACCATCTGGATTAGTGTAATTTGGCTAATCCAAGAAACTCTGATTTCCCCAAAATCAAGTGTCCTGCTTTCCTTCTAGCTTTCTAGCTGGGTTTTGGGCAGTGAAGATTTTGCTTAAAGATTGCTGATTAGTTTAAGTAAATTTAATCTGTTTTCTGGGCTCTTCGTCCAATGATTAAAAGAAGTGAAAAGAATCAATTTTTAAACCCAAAGTAGCTTAATTTAGAGGGTTTTCAGGGATCCTTGGAACCCATTAAAGAATTACTTTGACTGCGTGCTTTTTATGTTTTAATTTAAAATCTGCATATTTTATTTTCTTGTTGATAGAGACTTTAGTATTTAAAGTAAGATTTTATTCTGTAAAATTATATAACTGTGAGGAATATATATTTCTTTTCTTTTTCCCACTATAGGTTGAACTGGGATTGTCTTATACTGGGGGTTTTTGGTTGGGAGTTCACGTCTTCGTCTTCAATCACTCTTGTTTCTTGGCATTCTATATATACACATATATGTATTAATTTCTGGTGCTTTGATCTCAGCACAAATGGCTCGTTTACTAATCCGTAATCGGACTTTGTAAGATCAATGATTTCTGTGTTCTTGAAGCTGTGTGCCATTTCAGAATAACAGTGATTTTCCAGCTCCTCGCAATGCCTTTTTCCGAGCTTTATCGGATGGCCGGAAGGGTTGATTCAAGTCAAGATTTTGAGTACGTTTTCTGTTCCAAATTTTACAGTCTTTGCAGTTTTGCCCCTTTTGATTCATGCCATTGAATTGTATTGTGTTTTGGGTGCTATCTCATTTAACATTTGAAAATTTGTGGATTTGTTGTGGGATTTTAATGCAGAAATGATTTTCTTGAGTTGGTATGGGAAAATGGTCAGGTTGTGATGCAGGGTCAGTCCAGTAGAACTAGGAAGAATCCATCTTGTAATACCTTACCGTCTTATAACACCCCGAAAAATCGAGATAGAGATGTAGGAAATAGCAACATTGGGAAGACAGGGAAATTTGGGTTTGTGGTGGATTCTGAATTGGATGAAATTCCGTTGTCGGTGCCATCTTCTGAGATGGGTTTGAGTGAGGATGATGACACGTTGCCTTGGTTGAATTATTCCATTGATGAGCCTTTACATCATGAGTACTGTCATGATTTTTTGCCTGAATTTTCTAGTGCAACTGCAAATGAGGCTTCCTCCAATCATAATCTTGCCTCGATCGATAAGAGGAGTAGTTCTAGTCAGGTGCTTAGGGATTCCAATCCCAATTCTGCACATGAAGATGCTTGTTTGCAACAAAGGAATGTGGGAAAGGTTGCTTTAATCGGCCGTGCTGATGTTAGCAGGCCTAGAACTGGTACTAGTCAGTTGTACTCGTTATCATCGCAGCAATCTCAAGCATCGTATCCATCTTTCAGATCAAGGGTTTCGGATACTGCTGGTGATAATACTAGTGCCACCCATCGTGATGTTGGCAAGAATTCAAATCAGATTTCATCTACGGGTGGTTTTCCTGGAATGAAAATGCAGAGGCAAGATCCAGTAATGCCTAGAAACACTAATCCATCCATAATGAACTTTACCCATTTTTCACGGCCAGCTGCTCTTGCAAAAGCTAATGTTCAGAACAACGGTGCGATGGCTGGCTCAGGTTCATCAAGCATGGAAAGGATTGAAAACAAGGACAAGTTTTCAGCTGCAACCAGGAACAATCTGCCCGAGTCAATGCTAATTGATTCAAGCAGTGGTGCACCGAAGGAGTCAAATTCACAATGCCAGCCAATTCTAGTGAGATCCAGTGATGAATTGAAAGCAACAAAAGCTAAGCCTCTCGAGGAACCATGTACTGCTAAGCGGTCTGAGGGGGCATGCCAAGAAGAAACCTCTAAGAATGACATAAACGCCAATGATAAACCTTGTGAAAGTGCTAGTAGGGTATCTCCGGGTGGTGAAAAAACTCTGGAACCTGTTGTTGCTTCTTCTGTTTGCTCAGGCAATAGTGTGGAGAGAGGTTCAGATGACCCAACACATGCTTTGAAGAGAAAATGTCGTGAGACTGACGAGTCTGAATGCCATAGTGATGTAAGTTGAAAACTTGGTATTGAATATTTCTTGGAGTTTTCTTAATGTTTCCCTTTCCTCAAATTAAGAAACTTCCTCCTGTGCAGGACGTAGAGGATGAATCTGTGGGTGTCAAGAAAGGAGCTCATGCTCGGGGCAAGGGTTCCAAGAGAAGCAGAGCAGCAGAAGTGCATAATTTATCGGAAAGGGTGAGCAAGACCATTCATTGATGGAATTCATAACAGGGAATATGTTAGTTCCTTCGCGATATGCTGTTTGCAAACTCTAAGATCATTAAGTTGTACTCATTCTGGATTTCTCTGAACAGAGGCGAAGGGACAGAATCAATGAGAAGATGCGTGCGCTACAGGAACTCATACCGAATTGCAACAAGGTTGGTTTTTTTTTCTTGTAAGTGTTATATTTTATCGTCTTTCCGAAAATTTGCTTGTGATGTTTGATGGATTTCAGAAGTTTTACAATTTTAGTGTTAAATCAAAGATCTAATTAAAAACTCCTGGAGTGAAAGCAATTGCATAAAATAGTATTCATGTCTACGAAAGTCTATTGATTAAATCTGAAATGTATCTCTACAATCTTTCGAACTTCAACTTTTGTTTGAACTTGGTTGCTTAATATAATAGATATTACTGATAATCATGGAAGTTTTAACATAACCTACTATTGGTTGATATCTTCTGTAATTTGGTTAGACTGAAATTTTCATTATGACATATAAGGTGGACAAAGCTTCGATGCTCGATGAGGCTATTGAGTATTTAAAGACGCTTCAACTCCAAGTACAGGTAAACATAATCTTTATCACTCCTTAACTTAGTCATCTCTCGATGTTAATGTCCAATCAACTGAATGTTCGAGTATAACACGGTTATTATTTCAATATCTATGCAGATTATGTCAATGGGAGCTGGTATGTATATGCCACCAATGATGTTATCACCGGGAATGCAACACATGCATGGACCCCGTATGGCTCATTTCTCACCCATGGGTGTTGGAATGGGAATGGGAATGGGAATGGGATTAGGCATGGGTTTTGGGATGGGTATGCCCGACATGAATGGTGCATCTTCTAGTTACCCTATGCTTCAGGTGCCCCCCATGCAAGGAGCACATTTCCCTGGTCCACATATGGCAGGGCACAACGCCTTCAATGGGATGATGGGATCTAACCTTCAGATGTTTGGGCTTCCTAGTCAAGGAGTTCCTATGCAGATGCAATGTGCGCCCTTAGCTCCCTCATCAGGAGGTCCCCTTGTGAAGTCATCTGCAGGACCAAATGCAGGCAGTTCAGGAGGACCTGTGGAAAATGTGGAATCAGCTCCAGTTTCTGGTTCAAAGGATTTGGTGCAGAACATGAACTCTCAAGTGATGCAAAACAACAATGCCAATAGCTCTATCAATCCAACATCTAGTCAGGTTTGTGCATTTACTATGAAGTCGATTTTGTTTATAATTTATGAATATTAGTTTTGGAGTTTTGTTTAATTGATGCTGCATGTCCGTTGGGCTTCTTTGTTAGTGTTTATGTTAGAGCATCAAACCTGAATCAATTAACGATATGTGAAAAGATCCCAGGATTTTGTGTGTGTGAGATAACGTTATGATAATTGTCAAGAACCTTGGATTGTTGCTTTATTTTCGTGCCTAAATCAAGTTTTTGTTGTTCTTGGTGTTTCCAGGGCCAAGCAACAAATGAGGGATTTGGACAGACTGCATTGGTGCGAAATAATGTTCAAGCGGCTGATGCTAACAACAACAGAGCTAACAGATAATGGAATGATCTTGCGCTTAGTTGAGCAGCTAGTGAGTGTATAAAGGTATTCTCCACAAATTTTAATGTTCACATACACACCACAGTAATAATTCATTTTTGGAAGAAATATGAACTTATCTCCCCGCTTGTATATTCAGGTTTCGGTTAACAAGTAGTTCTATCTGTCATTGGAGAAGAGAAATCCATGTTGCAGCATCCTGAGATTGGACCTTTTTGCCTTGCTTCTGATCTGGGTAGATACATTTTACAAGTACACAAAAAACTGAAAAAGTACGAGTCGATGAGGTTGTTTGAACCTTGGCAATAACCATCTGAATTCTAATTTCAGGAGAGAGTACAATTACATATTGCACAGATTTTGGTCCTTGAGAAGACTCTGCAGTACCTTCTAGCATTTGTACATTCACTTTGTAGCCGGTGAGGTAATGCGATGTCTACAAGTTGAGAATATACCGGACGTATGTGTTGATTAATGAAATGATAGTAATGTCTTTTAAGTATATCTGTCGTACTTTCTATCTTTCTCTGAAGCCATTTTGATGAAATATGTTACGATCGGTTTCTTTTTTATGTCCCGAAATTCCTTATTAATGAGAAATGCTAGTGCTTTGAAAGATAACATGACGATTTTTTGTCGAAAAATCTTGGTTTTCAAGGTTCCACGTTCGGTTTTCCTGCTCCCAGCGGGTATTCGCAAACCTTCTGTTCTGCTGTTTTCAGTTTTCTAGATGTCTTGGTATGTAATCTACTTTCGCTTCAACCGAACTACACAATGATCAGATGATGATACTGATATTTGCAACTTTTAACATAAATCTGCATTCCATTTTCACTCATAAATTTCCTTCCCGATGAAACTGACAAGAATCAAACGCCGAAAACTCAAACAGTAATTACAATTAAATCAACGGCATCAAAAGGGGAAGAAAACTAACAAATATACACACGACATTACACTACTGATTATGGCAGAGCCTTTATATCTTCTACACGCACACATCCTTTTACCATCAAAACACAAGCCAAGATGCAAATTAATATTCCATCTCGTTATTTAACTTTGATAGCCTCCTTAGTTCCGGTAGCAGGAGTTTGCGAGCTTGGAGATTTCCCCCCGATGATAGCCTTCTTTGCCTTCACCAGTGACTGTTTTACCTTTGACAGAAGGTTATTCGACTGTTTCTGAGAGGACATAGCTGGAACTTCCTTTGGCTGGTCCTTGGGGGGTTTTGCCTGATCGCTATCCTTGGTGGGAGGAGGCTCTACATTCGGATCAGGTTTCGCAACTTTGTCTGTAATTTTCTCCAATTTATCAGCATCCGTTTTAACAGTTTCCTTTCCTTTAACTTCTAATTCATATTGCTCAGAATCGTTAAGTGGTTCATCAACTTCAACAGCTCTAGTGACTTCGTCCGGCTTCTCCTCCTTGGTTTCAACTTCAGCTGGAGTCCCATTTTCTATCTTTTCTGCTGCTTTGCTTTCCACCACAGGTTCAGCATCTTTCGCAGCTCCCTCAAATGATTTTTCTATAAATTCAGTGGGAGAAATAATAGAGTTCTTGACATCCTCTTCAAGTACAGTTTTGTTTTTGTCGTCTTCAAATTTCACATTCTTTGTTTCATTCTCTTCTGCAGGGTTTTCTGTTTCCACCACTACCTCTTCTGCTACCTTCTCAACCACATCAATTGGTTGAGTTGAATCCTCAGTTACCACATTTATCTTTTTGTTCTCTTCAATTCCGCCATTCTTTGCCACCACCTCTTCTCCTACACTTGCCACCTTCACTGCCGCCTCTTCTGCTAGCTTCCCAACTACATCAGACCTGCCTAATTCTTTCCTTTCACCCTCTTCAATTAGCGGAGCCGGATCCTCAGCTATTGCATTCCTGTCTTCATTATCTTCAGTTTCGACATCCTTTGCCACATTATCTTCTCCAACCTTTTCCAACTTCACCTCAGCCTGCTCCGCTAGCTTCTCGATCACATCACCTCCATTTGATTCTTTCCTTTGTTCCTCTATGATTGGTTGATTTGAATCCTCAGTTACCAAATCTCTCTTTCCATCCTCTACAATCTCCACCTCGTTTTCTCCAACCTTTTCCAGTTCCACATCTGCCTCGTTCACTAGCTTCTCAACCACATCACCACCGCTTGATTCCTTATTCTCATCTTCTTTAATTATTTGAGTTGAACCCTCAGGAATCACATTCCTCTTCTCGTTTTCTTCGATTTCCACATTCTCTTCCTCGACCTTTTCAGTCTCCACAGCTGGCTCTTCTGCTAGCTTCTCAACCACATTGACAGCACTTAATTCTTTCTTTTCGTCTTCAGTTGCGAACTTTTCTGTGACGTCAGGTAGAGAAGCATCCCCTTCATCTTGTACTTCAATTTGAGCTTCCCGACTAAGTGAAGCCGCTCCAAGATTTTCAGTTAGTCTAGGCTTGTTATCTTCATCATTTTTCGCTTCTTCCACGACTGTTGAATCTTCAACCTTATCAACTGAAAATCCGTCATCTCACTTTTTCAACCTCAACACTTTCCTCAGGCCCAACTTCATCCTGTTTCTTTTCTTGTTCCACAAGTTTGGGCTTTTCTGGTTCTTCCTCCACAGCTAGACTAGGTGCGTCCATTGTTTCAGTTTTCCCTTCCTCCAAGACTCTGGTAGGCTCAGTCTTTTCAGCTATAGAGCCTTCATCATTTTCCATCTCATCCTGCACTATCTCTTCAGGCTCTACGTGCTCAGATTCTTCTAGTGTGTCCTTCACATCTAAGTCTTTGACTATTGCTATGGATCCTTCGTCCGAAGTGACTTCCAAAGGCTTCTCTTGATTCTCAATGGTTACAATTGATGATAGAGGAGCATCAACTATCTTCGGTTCCTCCACTTGCCCTACTTCAAAGCTATCTATGGATGGTTCTTTCGGTGCTTCTATCACTACAGACGCAACCACACTTTGAATATCTAATGTTTGTGAATCAGGAATGGATTCATTTTCTATCTTTTTTTCTTCTGCGAGTGGAACATCTGGCACAGGAGCATCAACTATTTCAATGCTATCTATGGCCACTTCTTTGGGTACTTCTCTTCCTACAGACTTATTTGCGCTCTTAGTCTCTGCCAGGCTCTCAACAGCATCAACCACTTGCTTTGGGATATCGAGTGTTTGTAAAGCAGGAATGGCTTCATTTTCCACTTTTATTTCTTCCACAAGCGGAACATCTTGTGCAGGAGCAGCAGCAGCCTTCTCAGCCTCAACTGCTGCAGCTGGAGGCTCAGATGATGTTGCAACCGTTAAGGAAACACCATCTTGTTCAGAAGCCTTTTCGCCTTCTATTTTCTTCTCAACTTGCTGCAATGGTTAAGAATGATCGGAAGGAAAATAAATGAATCCATTCAGAAAGAGAACTTCACATAGAAATAAACTTTGCTTCCAATCTCTTTTAGAATCTGTAATTTTACATAGGTCTTGATATCCAATTCAAATCATAAAATCCCAGATATGTATACAAATTCAAACCAACTAATACACACACACACACACACACACATATGTATGTATATCACTTGTTGAACATCTTAAACATACACCACCCATCAGTTTATTCATTGTGGGGATAAATTTTCAAAACCCTAAATATGAAAGTTACATAGAGTACATCCGATACCCCACATATTCTTAATATCTTATCTGATCAGTTTCCATTAATTAAACAGAAAAAAAAAAGAAGGTAATGATATGTGGACACAAGTAAAAAACAGATTCCTCCAAAATTACAAAACCCTAAGAACAAGGTTTACTCCTATGAATTAACCAGAAAAAAAAGTATACTTCTATGTTGCTCCAAGTTGGTACTGATGATAAAAAAAATACAGATGATAAAAAAATACAATCATGAACGAAATCATTCATATATACCCAGTTTAAATTCCCAAAAAAGTTCATATACTTAATCAATAAAACACTTAATTATCACAGTAAAAACTGAAGAAACAAACCTCATCAGTGGTAGGAATTTGAAGTGATGCAACAGTTTCAGCAGCCATGAGAGTGATCAACAGAAAAGGTTAACGCTTCTGCTTGGTAGTAAGTGAAGATCAAGTGATTAAAGCAGAAGCAAAAGAAAAAGGAGAAGGCAATGCATGAATCCCAAAAGAAGCAAAGGGAAAAAAAATTAAAAATCCTTTTGGGAAAGCCACATCACATGGTTTGCCATAGCAGCAATGATTACATTAGAAAACTTATTTTTGTTTATCCACTTAAATATGTAGATGCTAATTATTGGATTATTACTTAACTATTGATTAATATACTTACTCATTTTTTATTGGTGTGTCACCAATAAGAAATGAACATGTTTATCAATGCTTAAATAATAATCAAATCATCAACTTCTATGTCGTTTAGTTTACAAAATTTTATTTAAAATTTTAATCTCCCATCTTTACTCATATATAAATGAAGTGACAACTACAATTATTTTTTTCTTTTTTGATACAATTGAAGAAGGGGAATCGAATTTGAAACTTCAAAATGCAAGATAAATACATTTAACTTACATACAAATTCCTTGCGTGTGATAACTGAAGTTGGGGTCATTGGGTGTGAAAAAGCACCAAAAGCTTCTGACATTTAACGAAATGAAAATTATTGAGTCAATGTCGTTGGGGTCATGGCGGCCATGCACATCACCAATTAATAAATCCCAAGAAGCTGAAATCCACGGGTGTACTTGTTTATAGATATGGAGAACCAGTTGATGATATTTATATTTTCTGTGATTTTATTTTTTATTTTATGTTCAAACGTTTTCTTAACCTTGGGAAAAGGACTTAGACGGGGATTCGGCTACGTACAAGCTTCATACGAAATATAACCGTTGCAAAAATCATTAGATTCTTATATGATGATAAACTTTTTAATTACAAATAGTTCCATCACCAACATTGTTAATGTCGTCTCTAACTTAACTACTTATTATTAAATTTGGGGTTTTATCATAAAACCCTAGGTGAGATTAGGGGTGAAAACTCATTTATATTAAAGATATATTTTTTTATCATATGCCTGCTTTGGGATCATATTCTCTAACATGTTCTCTCACGAGTGGCTCCACACGGGATCACTAAGGAAACCACCTCACATCTAGAATTGGTCAAGTCACTATACTAGAGCTAAAGCCAATATGGTCAGTAATTTTCAGTCACTGGAGAAAACACCAATCTTTTCAAAGGCCCAGTCATCTCGGTCGGTCTTTGGCCATTGGAGTCAACGCCAATCTTTTCGAAGACCTAGTTCAGTTAATACCCTTAAGATGGAGCTACGCAACTTTTCGAAAGCTTTCCTTACAAACAATAGTACTCCCTGCCTCCAGGTAAGTAATCCCACGGCCGAGGTTTTCAGGTTAAGCTCTAGCTGGATGATCAATGGTCCCAACTTAAGGAAGCAAATTCGAGCCTAGTAACTTGGGCCCATAAAGTGTCGAGAGAATAGCTTGCTCTGTTACCAAGATAAACTTTTCAGGCCCAACATAGGTTACCACCAACATCACCGATATTATTCCAACTTAACCACCAATCGCTACGTGCAAAGTTTTATTAGAATAAGCCTCAATGATACTAGGAGTAAAATATCTCATATACTAATTATATATTATTTTGTCATATGACTGATGTGGGATCCTATTCTCTAATATATGCACGATCTAATTGTTGCTTTTTTGAACTGCTCAATAGTACACGGTAAAAGGAAAAAATGTAAAAGAGAGGGATTAAAAAATCATAGGATTTTGAATGGAAATGTTTGCAAAGTCGTGAAATTTGTAATCCTTGGTCACATATGAATGGTCCGAAGATTAGGCTGTCTTGGTTGAGTATCGAAGTGTCAGGTTTCCGGGTTTAAACACCAGGTCAGGGTCTAGAGTTGCGAAAATCGAATTGCTAAATAAGGTACTTTAATTCTATGATGCAAGCTAAGTCCCATGTAACCCCAAATGACACCTCAGAATACCTCATCTCGAACACAACTTTTTTTTTTTTTTTTTTTTTTTTTTTAACAAACAATAGCATTAGTGGATTAAATTGTTAAATATTAGGAAGAGGAGGATCGGTGAAAATCAAACCTGCAACAAATTGAATAAACATTGTTACTTTTCACCTATGTGGTAAAACACATATGCACGAACACTGTTTAAAAAGGTAGGGAAAACTTGATATAAGTCCAATTTTTTTAGCCAATGGTATGAATAGTCCAATTTATTAAAATAAGTCCAATTCCTTAAATTTAATTATTTAATTATCAATAATTATCTATTCAATGATAAGATTTATTATAAAAATCAAATTTCTTCCTAATTATCTCTTTGATTATTTCTTTTTATTTTTATTTTTTGTTATTTCTTGTTCTTCCTCGTGCTTTAAACGCCATTTATAGATTTTATTTTTATTTTTTATAATCAACCTATGTCACAGCCCGTCCCGGAATTTTAATTCCGAGGACGTGAAAAGACCAAAATGCCCTTAAGCGGGACTAAGGGGCGAAAATTTAACAATTGGATTTACATTAGTATGTTTAAAGTTGTGTTTGGGATTTAAGTAGGGCCTCCTACCCTGATTCCCTCCCCAATTCCCGTATACTGTCATTCACTCTCTCTCTTCCCTCACGACTCTCTCTCACTCTCAGTTCTCTCTCTCTTCCTCTCCGACGCTCAACCTCACCCAAAACCACCTAAAACATAAACAAACGTCCAAGATAAGACCACATTTGGACTCCTGGAACTTCCACAATCACGTAGACATCAATTTCAGGTAAGTTCTACTTCGGAAAACCCTAGTTTTCAAAGTTCCCGTGAAATGGCACTGTTCATAAACTCTTAAATGGTGGTGTTTTAGCTTAAAACAAGATCACAGTGAGCTTAAGGAAGTCCCAAGGAAGCTCGGAGTGCTTCGTTGGAAGTTTTTGGACGTAAGAACACGGAGATCGACAAGTTCAAAGTTTGGCCGGAGCTTTCGAGGCTCTTTCCGGCGAATCCCCGGCGAGTTAGGAGTCGAGGTAGGTATCCATCTCTTCGTCTCGTCAAGTACTACAACTTTCCTTTTTGTTTCACTCAATTTTGTTGAGTATTGAAGAAGTTATACTCATTTGAAAAATACCCAGTTTCCGGCGACCTCCGAGGCTTTCGAGGCAGTTTCCGGCCAAACCACGGCGAACTAGGTGTTTTGCAAGGTACCATTCTCTTTGTCTCTTCAAGGGCTACAACTCTCTCGTTTTTGAATCACTTGATTTCGTTGAGAAATGACAAAGTTATGGCAATTTGAAAAACTGCCCGGAAAACGGCCGCCGGAAAAACCAGTCCGGCGACCCAAGGAAGAAGAAGGTGCTACAGTAAAAAAAATAAATAAAAATAAAATTATTTTAAAAATATTTCGACGTCCGTGACGTCGAGTAGATCACCGTGGTATATTCATATACCCAAATTGAGCACCGTATGAGAAAGTTATTAAGGATTGTTGGTTAGGTGTTCGAATAACGTTTTATAGTTTTCACATTTAGGTAAAAATGTGAATTGACGATCCGACCGTTGGATCGTTACCAAACTTTGATACGTTGTAATACGTAATATTCGAGGATTATTGGAACTTACGGATTGGGAATCCGAGTTACGGATCTTCCGGAATTGGAATTGTAAGTCCATAATATAAAATGTTAACCGTCACTTAGTTTTGGAAATTGACGGAGATCCGACCGTTGGATGGTGATGAAATTTTAGGATGTTGTCCTAGAGATATATTGTGGACCTCTGGAAGTTATGGATTTAAAATCTGAGTGGCAGATCTTCCGGATCGAACTACGTAGTGACGTATTTTATATAAGTTATATTTTCTATCGATATGAATTCTGAGGTTGGATTTGATTACTATTCTAGGCGGCGATCGTCGTGACGCCTTGATGTGTGGTGCTAGGGAGTTGTTGGACGAACTCCAGGTGAGTGGGCAGTTTTGTTTTCCGTATATATATATACTTGACGTTTCCCAGAAATTGAATTGAAATGAAAATATGTTTAAAATGAAATGCATATGAGTTATGTGGAAAAACGGGAAGTGAAATACCATGCATAGAATTGATATGAAAAGTATATAGAAATGTGAGTTGAAATGCCATGCATGAATTAATATATGATGCATATGTATGAATTGGTGCGGTGGACGCACAGGTAAGAATTGATTTATGATGCATATGTATGAAATGGTGCGGTGGACGCACATGTGAGTATTTATTTCTGTTATGATGATGTTGATGTATATTGAGCTCAAATCCTGCACCATAGTTTAGTGCTTATAGTATTCACCGCATCGCACGCTCGCCTTGGATCCAAGTAGATGCTAGTCGTACAGTCCACGCGGAGTGGGTACGACAGGCCAGTCGCGAGAGTGTTAGTGAGATTCCGACTGGTGGGTGACCTTAGATTATGTGCACAGATGATTATGAGAAGCACTAGAGCGTAACTTATGTGCAGAAGGCCGTACAGGTCACGCGGAGTGACTCCGGCAGAGTGTGAGAATGATAGATTTTGAGCTCTAGGTTCAACCGTACAGGGCTATTAGAGGGCCTCCGGTTGATTACTTTCTTGTACCTGATATGATTATTGTTGATGCATCCATACTTAACTGTTGAATTAGACATGGCATGGCATGATTGATAAAGAAAAATGTTGAGATAGTAAAAATGAAGTTTTGAGAATATATATGTATATTTATATTTTACATTTCTGGGAAAGTATACAGGTTTTACGGAGAGGGGTTACAATGCTTTGAAAAAAAATTGGATTTGAAAAGAATTGTTTTACTGACCCACTCAATTTTGGTTTTGCGCCCCTCCAGGTTAAAGAATAGCTGAGGTGTGGTGGCTACGAGGAATTCGACGGTGTTCTGACAGATTGGACAAAATTAGGACTCCCTTCGGGTGTATCAACTTATAAATTGTATCTTAAAGCTTCCGTACTGTGCAAATGGTTACGTCACTCTCACGTGACGGCCAGCATGCCCTC